TCAGGTAGTGTCTCCCTCCCCGCAGTCCTCCTCACAGTCCCCTCAGCAGCCTTCAGTACTTCCGCGACAGGTTACTGTGGACTCGGTTGGTGTTGGAGCTGGAGGTGCAGCCACTGGCGGTACTCGGTCTGGGGGTGCTCGTTCGAGGGGTGCTGGAGTTGGAGGTGCTGGCGCAGGTGGCGCTAGCCCTGGGGGTGCTGGAGCTGGAGGTCCTGGCACTGGAGGTGCTAGTCCTGGGGGTGCTGGAGCTGGAGGTGCTGGCGCAGGTGGCGCTAGCTCTGGGGGTGCTGGAGCGGGAGGTGCTAGTTCTGGGGGTGCTGGAGTTGGAGGTCCTGGCACTGGAGGTGCTAGTTCTGGGGGTGCTGGAGTTGGAGGTGCTGGCACAGGAGGTGCTGGTTCTGGGGGTGCTGGTCCTGGAGGTGCTGGTTCTGGGGGTGCTGGTGCTGGAGGCACTGGCACTGGAGGTGCTGGTTCTGAGGAGACTGGAGATGGAGACACTGATTCTGCGGAGTCCACTCCGCCTCCCCACCGCCACGACACACGTCTCCAGGCGGCTCGTCGGCGTGAGCGTGAGGAGCAGGTGCTGTTGGAGAGGGAGCGGCATGAGTTGCGGCAGTTGGACCTGCTGGAGCAGCAGCGGCAGAAGCAGCAGCAGCAGCAGCAGCAACAGCAGCGGCAGCAGCAGCAGCAGCAGCAGCAGCAGCAGCCGCCGCAGCAGCAGACACCGCCGCCGCTCCCTCTGGAGCGGCAGTTGTTCCCACCCGTGAGTGGCCTTCGGGCCCTTGGTCTTCCCTCCTCTCCTCCTGTTCACACTCCGTCCCCTCCAGCGTTTGGTCCCACGTTTCCTCCTCCTGACGCCAGTCCAGCGGTCTGGTCTTCTCCTCCACCGCAGTCTCCTCCACCTGGTGTCCCACACTCTCGTGTCCGTCCCTGTCCTCCGCGTGCTCGTCACTCGTCTCCCGTTACTGACCTCCGCACTGCCCTCCTTTGTTCGTCTCTTCGTCGTCCTCCTCCTGAGTCTGTTCTCCCGTCTCCTCCTCCGTCCTCTCTCCCTTTCCCCCCTACTCCTGTCACTGACTATTACCGCGCTGTTCGTCTTGTTGTCTCTCGTGTCCTCACCACTCTTGTCACCGACTCTCGTTTCCCTCCGTCGTCTGTCTCGGCTCTCACTGCCGCTGTCGCTGAGTTTGCTGCCGCCAGTCGCCTTGAATACACCACCCGTGTGGTGTCAGCTCCTCCCTCTCATCCTCTGTCCGTCGGGGGTGAGTTTGCCCTTGGCTGTGACGTCCTAAAGGACAGAGAGTCTGAGCTGGAGTACTGGGCAGCTACTTCTCCCTCTATCTGTGCCATGCTGCTATCCCCTGAGGGAGACCCCGACGCCCTTGACATACCGACTCCTCGTACTTACCGCGAGGCAGTGTCAGGGGCGTGGGCCTCACAGTGGAAAGCGGCTATGGCCTCGGAGTTAGCGTCTTGGAGATCCACAGGCACCTACGTCGACGCAGTTCCCCCTCCCAGGGCGAACGTAGTCGATGGCATGTGGCTCTTCAAGGTGAAGCGGCTGCCTGGTTCACCGCCTGTGTTCAAGGCGCGCTACGTGGCTAGGGGTTTCAGTCAGCGTGAGGGAGTTGACTTCTTCCAGACCTTCGCCTCGACCCCGAAGATGACTACTCTTCGGGTGTTACTGCACGTAGCAGCACTGCGAGACTACGAGCTGCACTCCCTTGACTTCTCTACTGCGTTTCTCCAGGGCCGACTACACGAGGAGATCTGGCTGCGCCACCCTCCTGGCTTCACAGACACCTTCCCACCTGGGACCCAGTGGAGCCTGAGACGGCCAGTCTACGGTCTCCGCTAGTCGCCCCGTGAGTGGCACGACACTCTTCGCTCCACGCTTCGTGACCTTGGGTTTCATCCTTCCTCTGCCGACCCGTCGTTGTTTGTTCGCACTGGTTCCACTCCTTTCTTTATACTAGTGTACGTCGACGACTTGGTCTTTGCCACACCAGACAGGGCAGCTCTGGCTCAGGTGAAGTCCGAACTGCAGAAGAGACACAAATGCACTGACCTAGGTGATCTGCAGCACCACCTTGGCCTGCAGATCACCAGGGACAGAGCCGCTCGCACCATCACACTGACTCAGTCACACATGGTGCAGCAGGTCCTTCGGCGGTTCGACTTCCAGTTCTCCACCACACAGCCCACACCTCTTGCTATTGACCACAGACTCATTGGTCCCTTTCCGGACGAGCCCTTTGAGTCCAGTGGTCCCTACGCAGAGCTGGTGGGCTGCCTCATGTACCTGATGACTTGTACTCGGCCGGACCTCGCCTTTCCTCTCAGCATCCTTTCTCGCTTTGTTGCGACTGGGAGACACCGTCCTGTCCACTGGACAGCTGCTGTGAGGGTGGTGAAGTACCTGGCGACTACATCAGGCATGGGGCTTGTGCTTGGAGGGACTCAGCCAGTGGCGTTGACTGGTCACTGCGACTCTTCCTACGCTGACGACGTGGAGACTCAGCGCTCGACTCAGGGTTACTGCTTCAGTCTGGGAGCTGGTGCTGTGTCGTGGAGGTCTACACGGTCGTCGTCTGTGGCTACTTCCAGTGCAGAGGCAGAGATCTACGCTGGTGCCATGGCGGCACAGGAGCTTCGCTGGTTGACCTTCTTGCTCACCGACCTTGGTGAGCGGCCTCGCTCTGCACCGACCTTGTACGCTGACAACAAGGCCATGATCCTCCTCTGTCGAGAGCCTCGACTGGAGAGCAGAGTGAAGCATATTGACGTGAGGTACTTCCTTCTGCGAGAGCTGCAGCGACGCGGCCAGGCACCAGGCCCTACGTTATCATGAATTTTTCCCTGAAATTCTTGATTTTCAGGGATTTGTTTGTAGCAATCCTGATGTTTCAGTGTTTATTTTTTTTAGGGACTGATTTTTCAGCCTTTAGGTGCCAGATGACTCTGATCTTTCAGGATTTTTTTCCAAGGGACACTGATCACTTTACGTTGTAACGAACCTGACCCTGAATGCGATTTCTACACGTGCCGAGTGTAGGTGCCCAGAAGTACAGGGAATCTCAGATTCCCGCGGTGTCAGCACCGCCTGGCGATGAGTACCAGACAAATTTGCCCCGTGTTTTACACTTGGAGGGCTGCTGAATTTGGCGCGCGTGGAACGATCATTGCCCACTTTTGCATCATTGCGTGGGTTGACCAATCACACGGTTGCAACATAGCAATGCTGGCAGCGTGCGGTGCGAGGGTTTCTTGCACCTGTGGTCGTGTGGCCCGTTTTGTCCAGATCGTGCTGGCAACCACTTATGCATCCACGCCGCCCAGCCGTGCTACCTGCCATCGAGGCTCCCATCCCATTCTGCTCCATCCTTTCCAGCCATCCTCTTGGGTTTTCTTGCCGTTCCTGCCTGGTGTACCAAGAGGCAGTCAGCCGTGTGGTTTCTCAGGCTCTGCTCTTTCTAGTTAGATGCAAGTTAGTACCGCTGCAAGCTATGGCGGACCCCCAGGACGAGCTGGTAACTACTGGCGACCTAGGCGATAATGCGCATCGTCGTTCGGCAGATGACGTTTCCGCTGCTGTTACCGGCCTGGATCTCCTTTTTTCCAGCTTCGTCCAAATCGACAACCATGAAAAGGCACCTCAGGTCGCGCCGCCCATTTTTTTCCTTTCGAACCCATAGATGAGGGGTTGTGTGCCTCCCCTACAGCGCCTGTGTTAGATCAAGACAGCTCCTCGCCTTCTATTGAGGAAATTGCGGCGGCTCCAGCAAGAGAGGGGGAGGGCAGTGGCAACGGCAAGGGAAAGGAGGCAGATGAGGAGGAGGAGCTGGAAGAACCAGAGGCTAACTGTAGTGATGACACTGATGATGAGTAATTGATTATTGAACCCTCTCTCTGCTCTGTTGTTGCCGATGCTTGCTAGCTAGCTAGTTAGTGTTTTAGTATTTGAAGTGTAAAATCAGCGTTTACAAAAAGGGAACACTGATGCATCAGACATTTTTATTAGGTAACACTGAACTTTCAGGGTTTTTTTTTTAGGGACACTGATTATCAGGGATTCTACACAGGGGGACCCTGATGCCTTAACGTGCCTAAAAGTGAATCATAGGCCCTGCCAGGCACGCCTGGACTTTGTGGCCTCAGAGGCCAATACTGCAGACGTCTTCACCAAGGCCCTGGCGCTTGGTGACCACCACAGGTTCTGTGTGCAGTTGGGGCTTGTTGAGGTAGGCCCTCGGTTGCTGTAGACTTGCTGTTTGCTCTGCTTGTTGTGCTTTGCTATATATATCCTAGTGAACTCTTGAACTGGCCTTGTGGCCGCTTGCTTGTGCTCGGAATTTGTGTGGTGTCCTTGAGATCCACCCTGAGCTTGCTTTGCTTCTTGCATTGACTGGTCTTGTGACCGTTTGTTCACCCTGCTTGCTTTGATGCCCCTCACTTAGCCTATGGGGGTGTGTCAAATGTTATTATAGGTTCTTAGGCTACAGTGAGTAGCACTCTAGGGAGTACAACACTTTTAGGGTTGCTATTTGTATCCCTTGTTTCCCTAGTTCACACATTCCGTTGCATTCCTACTTTGAGACAAATTGTACATCTCTGTCTTGCGATCTCAATCGAAACGAAATGTTAGAGAGACCGAAATCAGAATCGCGCAAGGGCGATTCTCTGCCGGCGCACAGAGCTTTGGCACGTCACTTTGCAGGCGTGTCAACTCATCCTGACTGGACGCGCAGCCAGTGAAACCCTCGAGAGTCAAACAATGTGAAAATGGATGTAAACTCGCTGCAAAACTGAAATTCGTTACCGTTTTAATCAGGATTTTAAAATAGAATTATGCATGCGCTTATAATAAATCAGGGGTTTACATTACAAGGGGGTGCGCTTATAATTGAGGATCGGCCATAAGCGCATTGCTCCGAATATAAGCGCATGCGCTTATAATAGGCCTGCGCTTATATCCGGGGTGATACAGTACCAGTACCTGTTCAATTCCTTCCACCCAAAAGCCCAATAGCAGAAAGAATAAAAACAACAAGCTCTTGGACGTTCTTTCTACTATCCCCGCCCCCACCGTCCAGCTCTGCCCCTACCCCTACCGCCGCTGTTGCCAGCAGTGCTCCCCTCCTCTCTCCCTCCCCCATCACCATTCTCCACCCCCCTCCACTCCACTGTGCTGCTCTGATTCCTCCCACCCCTGGTTGCACCATCATCCCCCACCCCTCCCCCCAGCCCTCTCCCTGCCCCTGCCCCTCCCCTTCCCCCTGCTCCTCCCTCTGCCCCTCCTCTTCCCCCCCCTCCTCCCCCTCTCCCTCCTCTCCCCTCTCCCCCCCCCCCCCCCCACACCTACCCCTCCCACACTGTCCTCCGCCCTCCTCTTCTTCCTCCCCTCCACTGCTTCCCCCTTAGGCGCAGCAGCAATGAACACCTTAAGCAAATCCACAAGATAGCTCACCACAGAACCAATCTTGGCTACCTGCTTCACCCCACTCACTTCCTCCCCACCCCCTGCCCCTTTCCCACCACCTGCTGCTGCTCCCCCTGTCGCTCCTCCTCCTCCTGCTGCTCCTCCTGCTCCTCCTGCTCCCGCCCCCTCTCCTCCTGCTCCCGCCCCCTCTCCTCCTCCTCCTCCTCCTCCTGCCATTCCTTCACCACCAGAAGCCGCATCGCCTCCATTCCCCTCCTCGGCCTCATCCCCGTCAGTGCTGACCAGCAGAGTGACAGGGTACCGCCCGCTCGCATTGTACTCTTCAATTTCTGCTACTGCTCGCTTGAAATCCACCACGCCCGCCCATGCAAAGTCCGCCTCGATCTCTCTCATAGCCTTGGCCACTAGCTCGTCTGTACTGTTGAACACACGCTGTTGTTCCAAGCGGCGATGAAAGGGAACAGAGGAAGACAAAAGCGGAAGCGGGGGAAGCAGACGGATATTGAAACGCTTCATATCTCTCTCATAGCCTTGGCCACTAGCTCGTCTGTACTGTTGAACACGCACCGTTGGTACAAAGGGCGGGTGGGGATGGAAGGAAATGGAGGAAGGAAATGGAGGAGACAGAAGAAGAAGGTGCCTTGGCTGATTAGGTCGCATATAATTGCAAATCTATTTTTTAGGTTGGATGAATGACGGCATACCTTGGCTACTCTATCTGTTTCATCGACTCGAAAGAAGGTGTGATCGTTACCCTTTAGCACCTTCTCCCACTCGAAACCCAGAAGTGACTAGAGTATACTCTGATTACAGACTTGACTACTGCGTACCTTGCCAACTCCATCAATTTCCTGGACTCAGAAAAGGTCATAATCAGTAGATTTGATCTCCTCCCACCCCAAAACCCGAGGTGCCTCTTGAGTTGACTGCGTACCTTGGCAACTCCGTCTATCTCTTGCACTCGAAAGAAGCCGTTCTCAGTAGACCTGACCGTCTTTTGAGGCGCCTCAAAAGGCAACTCCGTGTATCTCTTGCACTCAAAAGAAGCCGTTCTCAGTAGACCTGGCCGTCTCCACCCACACGAAAAACAGCAGAGACTTTTGAGTCGACTCAAATGTGCCAAAGCACAGAGTGTTGACTGCGTACCTTGGCCACCCCATCAATCTCTTGCACTCGAAAGAAGTCATGCTCAGTCGACCTAATCAGCTCCTCCCACTCAGAGAACTTCATCGTGAAATCCGCCTGCCAGTTGGGATCCCGCTCGTCCATCCCCTCGCTACACACCCCACACGCACAGGGCACTGCGCGCACGTCTCACCCGAACCCGAAAAACAGAGGCGGGTTATGAGTCGACTCAGAATGTAATGCATACCTTGGCAAATCCATCTATTTCTTGCACTCGAAAGAAGTCATGCTCAGTCGACCTAATCAGCTCCTCCCATTCAGAGAACTTCACAGTGAAATCAGCCTGCCAGTTGGGGTCCCGATCATCCATCCCCTTGCTGCACGCCCCACACGCCCTGCACTGCTTGCACGCCTTGATCGCCTTGTTTGCCCGGCAAGCGGGACACGCCTTGCATGTGTGGCAGGCCTTGTAAGCCTTGAGCCAGAGTGGTTTCTTAAGCAGCCCCACCATGTGGGGGCGCACGGGAGGGCGGATCGCCAGCTCGGGTATTCCTGGGAGGGTCACTGCCTTGAGGAGTTTCTGCTGGTCTTTCAGGAACTGGAGGAGGAGGGAGAGGGAGAGGAGAGGGAGGACAGGGCGCAGGGGGGAAGAAGAGTGAGTTGAGCGCATGACACGCGGGGCACGCATTGCACGCGCGGCACGCTCGGTAGGCCTTGAGACAAGCACTCACCAACCAGGCAAGCACTCACCAAACAGGCAAGCACTCACCAACCAGGCAAGCACACAGTAGGCAGGCAAGCAAGAACACACCTGAAGGCAAGCAAGCAAGCACGCACCTCGAGCGCTGTCTTCCTGGCATTCAACACATCGTCATCCTTCACCCTTGCATCCACGGACAGCCGAAAGAACCGGTCCTGTTCCTCATCCAGCATCTCCTTGGCCTCCTCCAACTCCTCCTCTAGCCGCCTCAGCAACCTAGCGAGCATGTACCTACCAACAGGCAAGGCACTCACACAGCAGGCAGGCAAGCACGCACACACCAACCAGGGAAACCAGCGCCTGGAAGGCACATAAACACCTCAAGGACGGTCTTCCGGGCATTCAGCACATCGTCATCCTTCACCCTTGCATCCACGGACAGCCGAAAGAACCTGTCCTGTTCCTCGTCTAGCATCTCCTTCGCCTCCTCCAACTCCTCCTCCAGCCGCCTCACCCTCTCCTCCGCCTCCTTCGACCCCTCCTCCCCCGCTGCTCCCTGCTTGCCCTTGGCTTCCTCCAGTTGTACCTCCATGCGATGCCTCTGCTCCACCTTCAGCCGCACCTGCTGGAACCTCGCTTCCAGTTCCTCCATTTCACGCTGGTGGGCAGGGGAGAGGGAGAGGAGGAAGAAGGGAAGAAGGGGAAGGAAGGAAAGAAGGAGGGGTAAGCAGGCTGCATGTCCAGCATCTCCTTCGCCTCCTCCAACTCCTCCAGCCGCCTCACCCTCTCCTCCGCCTCCCTCGTCCCCTCACCCTCCCCCTCTGCTCCTCAAAAGTCTTCCTTGTGGGTGACATAATCTACGTTATGTACCAGCATGTGACCGTTGACCGTGTTAGTACCATAATTAATACCCCTCACGGGCCCTTCACGTGTAGGTGTGGATACAAAGATGTGATGACAATAAAGCTGCAAAAAAAAAAAGGGGGAAAAAAAAAAACTGCTGCAAAGATGTGATTACAATGAAGGGCCCAGTCGAACCGAACCAAGCTGGTTCGATTCAAACCGCAGATGATTCGAGTCGAACTACCCGTGGTTTGACCACATAAGTTGACTTGAACTATGAATCTGCCTAGGTCCCTAACCGATTCGGCCCAAATCACCACTTTGATTCGGTTCGACTACCAGCCCAACTCAACATGGTTCAAACTGAACCGGTTCGAGTTTGATATTGTTGAAGCATGATTTGGCACATTACAGATATATTCCCCAGGTCTTCCCCCAACCTCTCCACTACTCCCTTCCGACCCAGAGTTAAGCACTCACCGCTCGCCTCTGAGCCTGCTGCTGCTGCAGCTCCCCTTGCTGCTCCTGCTGCTTCAGTTGCCGTGTCAGCACCTCCAACCTTCGCCTCGTCTGCCACGAAAGAGATGTAGCAGCAGCACAACAAGGCACTCGGATGGTGACAGTAGTGCATGCATGTGTGAGCGTATGTGTGCGACAGTGCATGTGTGCAATCACTCATCTGCCTCTCCCCTCACTCACCTCGTGTTCCTTGTCTCCCCCCCTCCCTCTCCCCCAATCCCCCCCTCTCCTCTCTCAACTGCCCCCACTCCTCCCCTCAACCCCTTCTCCTCTCGCCCCCTGTTGATCCTCACCTCCTGCTCGTTAGCACTCCTCGCCTCCAGTTGTCGCTGCAGCCACTCCATCTCCCCTTCCATGCGCCGCACCTCCCGCATGCGATCGCTCATCTGCCTCTCCATCACCTCCTGTGTGTACGCGTGTGCCTCTGCCAGCTCTGCAGCAGTGAGACACAGGGCAGGTGTGACAATAGGCATGGGACAAGACAGAGGGGGAAGGAGCATCAAGAAACAATTGCATCAGCCCTTTCACATCACTTCTCGTTCCATGTCATCCCACATGCGATCTGAACGCCATAGCACCTTCTCCATCCCCGTATTGCAACATCTTCCGCACACCTTGCTCGTGCTTCTTCCTGAGTTGCATAGCAGAATCTTCCATCTCCTTGAGCCGCCCCTCTGTGTCCTGCAGGCGCTCTGACAGGCGCATATACGCCCGCTCCTGCACGCGCCTCTCCTCCCTCTCCTGCTGCCGCTTCACTGACTCCTCCTCGTCCAACACCTGAGAAGAGGAGGAGAGGAGGGGGGAAGAGGGGAGGGGAGGAGAGGAAAAGGGAAGGGAGGCACAGTGTGAGTTAGATAGGCGCATGAACGCCCGCTCCTGCACCCGCCTCTCCCCCCGCTCCTGCTGCCGCTTCACTGACTCCTGCTCGCCCAACACCAAGAGAGGAGGAGAAAGTAGGGAAAAGGAGAGGAAAGAGGAGGGCAAAAGAGGACATATTACCTCTTCACCGCCTCCCCACTGGCTCATTCTCACCCTCTACCCTCAATTTGAAGTCGCATCCATGAACAAACATAACCTCCCTTAGATTCCTAGTCGTCCAGTGCTGATTATACAGCACACTCCCCAGCGGCCCCTTCTCACTCCGTTGACCTCCACTCCACATACCTTTCGAGTCAAATGTATAGACCAAACTCACCTCCCTCAGGCTCTTGGTTGCCTTGTGCTTCTTATGCAGCACACTCCCTAGCGGCCCCTTCTCACTCTCCTCCTTCAAATCCTGCTCCCTTGCCGCCCACACAAACAACTCTTTTGTCTCGCCCCTCCTCCCATTCGCATACCCCTCCCTCGCCCACCCCGACTGGGCATACGTCTTGTCCAGCTTGGACGCAGCCTCCCACCCCTTGGCGTTCTCCTCCAAGTGAATCAGAGCCATGCCTGTATGGCCCATGCGGTCTGAGGACGGGGGGGGATCGAATCAAGACAGATTGGCAAGGAAGGAACAGAGAGGCATGTGTATGCGGGCCTCCCATCCCTTGGCGTTCTCCTCGAACTGAATCAGAGCCATGCCGGTATTGCCCATGCGGTCTGATCTGAGAACGTGGGGGAGTCAAGAGAGTGAGGCAGTTAGAAAAGGAACAGAGAGACAGGCATGTGGATGTATGTGGGCTCTCCCACCCACCCCTTGGCGCGTTCTCCTCCAAGTGAATCAGAGCCGTCCCTGTGTGGCCTCTGAAGTCTGATGAAGGGTGAGGATCGAATCAAGGGAGCACGCAAGATTGGAAAGAAACTGAGAGGCAGGCATGTGTATGTGGTCGTCTCCCATCCCTTGCGTGTTCTCCTCGAAGTGACGAAGATCCGTTCCTCCCTGTATCTAAGTTGGGCACTTACGTTTTTTTAGGTCTCGTAAACGTAAATTTCGCGAAATTTTACGTTTTCGTTTACGAACGTTAACTTTCGCGTAAGTCTGAGGCGGGCAGCGAAAAAAAAATGTTCAGGGTTTAGGGTTTTTTTTTTTTTTTTTTTTTTTTTTTTGTCTCCCTGGATTATGTACGGGTACCAGATCCTACTACTAGAATAGCGAATTTACTAGGTATGGAGCGCCTTTCGAGTCCGTGAAAGTTTCAGATTCAGCGTTGATTAGTAGGAGAGGAATACGATAGGATTCGAACGAGCTGGTAGGTTGACGTCGAACAAGATAGCGAGTTAAGGAATTAGGTGGGAGGGAGATGCCCGTGTTGTGTTAGGGAGGGGGAGGTGGGGGGGGGGGGGGGGGAGGGGGGAGGAGGAGGAAGGGGAGGGGGAAGGGGAGGAGGAGGAGGAGGAGGAGGAGGAGGAGGAGGAGGAGGAGGAGGAGGAGGAGGAGGAGGAGGAGGAGGATTTTATGTTTAGGGTATTATTGTTTCTTCAAAGTTGACATGATGCCTACAGAATGAGTCTCCCTAGTACTCTGGTAATTTGTTTCCTCGGGCAGACCTAAAAAAGTTTTCAGGTGACCGTAAACGTAAGGCCGAATCTAGGCAACCGTTCGTAAACGTAAAAAACGTCGTAAATAAACGAAAACGTAACAAACCGTAAACGTAAGATCCAACTTAGCCCTGTATGGCCCTTGTGGTCTGATGATAGGGGAGAATTTAACGAGCAACAAGAAACTCGAGGGCATGAGGGAGGCAGGCAGGCAGACAGGCATGCGGTACGCCGGTACGCGAATGCGACAATCTCGAGTCGACACAAGATCGCTCACTATCAACACCACTCCTTCCTTCTCCCTCCCCGTATTTCGTCTCCCCCTCTCCGGCCCTTCCGTCCCTCACACCCCGCTCACTGTATAGCGCATCCACTTTCCGCGGCCCACGGCAGGCACTGTTCAACTAACAACACGCACTGAATCATCACCCCCCATCATCCCCCACGCACTGTAAAGAACATCCACTTTCCGTGGCCCGTAGTTCTTGAGAGTGCTTTCCAGCTCCTCCCGGGTCGCCCCACCCAGGACGCCCCTCCCCCGTTTGTACCTCTATGAGAGAGGCAAGCATGCGCACGAGTCATGTCACCCCCTCTCCCTCCCCCCCCCCCCCCCCACTCACTGTATAGCACATCCACTTTCCGCGGCCCATAGTTCTTCAGAGTGCTTTCCAGCTCCTCCCGAGTGGTGCCGCCCAGAATCTTCCTGTTCTGAATCTTATCAAGCGTCCAATACGTTTGCAGGTTTTTTACTATGGCCACGGGCGGCCACAGAATCCGATCCTGCAAAACAGAATCCGAGATGGAAAAAAAAGGGTGCGAGAGAATAAAAAGAGATGATATGCAACGGAAAGAGGTGCGCTAAGTATACAAACAAAAACTGAATACACTCCTTAAATTTCTGAACGCTTAAAGCCATGACTTACCTCCACAACTGCAGGAGTCTGAAGAGGTGCCGCGTTTACAGCCCGAACAGGCTTCTCCGGCTGCATATCCGCCCGCATCAGCCGCTCCACCAGCATCTTGTGTCGCCGACTCTCCTTAGCCCCTTTTCTCGATGTTTTTTTAGATTGAGCTTCGGCGTGTGTCATAACTTCGTTGAACAAGTAATCCTGCTTCATCTGACCCGGGCAGAAGGGACAGCGGTACGTTCCGTCGTGGTTGAGAATGGTTGCGGGGTTTTGAATGCGTTCCTCGTCTCGTTCCAGCTCCTTCTCATCTTCGTCCGGCAGTTGGTCGTCGTCGTCGTCATCGTCAATCGGCGTGACGTCATCGTCGTCGTCACTGTACAACTCATCCATTTTTTAGGTGCTGACGAACGGTGCCGAAGAGCCTTCTTGAAGCGCCTCAAAAATAGTGCTGACCAGCCAAGAAAATAGCCGTTCTCTGAGGCGAAAACCTTTAAGGCAGAGACGGAAAACTAGACAGAGATTAAAATTCAGAAAATTGAAATTTCCTGGTATAACGTCTTCTTAACGGCCGAATCGTATGGCGCAAAGGTGGGACAAGACAAAGAAATTAGGCGAGAGAAACTACAAGGCAATGCTAGTAGGCTTGATGTAGGGTGGCGGGTGGCGGAGTTATCAATAGTGCTTGGGTTGGATTGGAATTGAGAGTGTGTTCAGTTACGGAGTTCGCTGTGCTTGCTCTGACTAGTTCGGCTTAGCGGGTTTGGTTCGCTCCATTTTCGCTGATATTCCGTTGGAGCTTTGCTCACATTTCCCTTTCGGTTGCGATTCCATCCGAATGTTTTAGGAACTTCGTTCAGCTACCAACTGATTTCGCTCACGTTTGGGACACCAAATCTATATTTGACACAAAGTACTCCAAGAATGTAAACGGGTACCGCGACCTGAGTCCCTCGACCAAAGACCCGAATTACTTCTACAAACGTAAAAACCATAGCCAGTAAAGAGAAGATTAGTCGCCATGGCACGCGCTAGCTCTACCGCGAGCATCGAGGAGCGGTCGCTCGAAGTCGAGCTTTTGCTTGTCTCTCTCGGAGCGCCGCCGTCGTTCGCGCTACGGAAACTCGCTTGCGATAGTGACGGGCTTAGCGGCTCAAGAGACATCAGGTCAGGCGAACGGCCGTTAGCCGCGCTAGCCTCCGTGGTTGCGCTCATCAGCGCGGGCAGGTATGCCGCCGCGCTGGAGCGCGCATCCTCCGCCCTCGCGGCCCTCCCCTCCGCGGAGCAGCTGGCGGAAGCCGTCCCCGCGGACGCGCGGAACCAGCGGGGGGAAGCCGCCGCGGGCGCAGTGGCGGCGGAAGCGTTTTTCCGCGCAGTGCGGGGAGGAATCGCCGCTCTGCTGGCGGATCTGGGGGGGGGAACCCCTTCGGGAAGCGGGAAGGCGGAGGAGGAGGAGGGGGAAGGGTTTGGCGGGTGGAGCGGGGGAGAGAAGGCGCTGCTGGTGCTGATGATGGGGGCGGCGAGCCTCTGCCTCTTCGTGCAGGCCAACGTTAGCGGGTGGGTGTGATTGTGAGGGGCATGTGGGTGTGAGGGGGATGTGCTTACAACGAGGAACCATAGTCAGGGTATTCAGGGTGGTGAGAGCAGTGAGGGCATTCAGGGTTTGGGGTTTAAGCTGAAGCCTCAGGGCATGGTAAAGCAAGGGTGCACATTCCTAGGGGTGGTTTTCGGGAGTATTGGCTTGGTACACCCCTTAGGGTGCTACGGATGGTTGGCGAAGAGTCCAACCATATGAAACACTGGAGCGAGGGTTGGAGAATGTGCTGGCAAACACAATCAAATTCGTCGGCGAGTAGGGTTGGGGGAACAGACGGCAGAAGGGGAGGCAATTGATAAACCTTTGAGTCTTGAGACAACCCCCCCCAAAGTGCACCCTTGCTTTAATCTGCAAGCCCACTTTCAGCCTCTTAAATGTACCTGATCTTAAAACCTGAACCCTCTAAACCCCAAAAGGCAAACCGTGAGCTTTAAAGCCTGTGCATTGAACTTTGAGCTTGAAACCCTCAACCCCGAGCCGTGAACCAGGGAGGGACCATGAAAAGAACTGATCCTGACCTGATCTCTACACAACATTGTGACACCAGAAGAACTACACAACCAGGTCCATTCAATGAATGGAGAGCTGCTCATAACATTTCGGGTCTTCATCATGTCATCACAATGCCTCCAATCCCCATACCATCACAAATTCAATGATTGTTCCAGCTTTTGTCCCCCTGTCTCGACCCCCCGCTCCGCCCATACCCCCCTTTCCCTCACCTCCCCCCCCCTCTCCCGCGTTCCCTTCCCGTTGCCTCCCGTGCCCTTCGTTCCACTCCCGTTCTCTCTTTCTCTGCCACCTCACCACCACCAGTCCCAAGCCCTCTGCAGTCCCAACACTCCCACTTAGCCCACCACCCACCAACAACGTCACATCAGCAGCCGTACATGATACATCAGCAACCACGGTTGACACGTCAGCACCTGCTAGCCATCCTCCATTCCTCGCCAGCGAGGCGGCACGCGTGGCGCTGAGCAAGTGGTGCCAGGTGGAGCTCATGACAGATGGTGCTGACGTCACAGGCAGATGCCACCTCCCCCAGTACCTCCTCCTTGCCAGGACCCTCCTCCTCCCCCCTCTCTTCCCACTCCTCTTCCCCTCCCCTTCCTCCTCCACCTCTCCCTCCATAAAACCTTCTGAAGCCTTCTCCCCCTCTCTGCTGCCGCCCTCCTGGTCCTGGTGGGCGGCGAGGGTTGTCGTTATTCACCAGAGGGTGCTACAGGAGCGGTCCCCCTCCCTCCGCGCCCTGCTGCTCCCCTGCACTGTTCACCTGGGAGAGACTCTGGGGACTAAAGACAACGTGAGACGAGCTTTCTTTAGGAAGAAGGAGGAGGAGGGAATGGAGCGAAGGGAGGGAAGGGAGGAGGGGGGAAGGGAGGGAGGAGTGGAGGGGGAGGGAGAGTGGGAAGTGTGTGTGCGGGTGGCAGCGATGGTGCATCTGGAGGCTGGGATGATGGAGATGGCTTATGCACACGTGGACACTGCCAGGTGTGTGTGTGCCTGACACGTGGGCACTGCCAGGTGTGCCACTGACACGTGAACTCTGCCTGCCAGATGTGCTATTCTGTCCCTCACTCACCTCACCCCATGTTATCTTACTGTTTCTCACCCCGCGTTTCATCTTACCCCCTTCTCGTCCCCCCTTCATCTGCACCCACAAACACCCACTCTGACGGGCAGGAAGTGGTTAGAGAGAGCTCTGCAGGAGTGCTGAGTGTAACCGGAGCTATGGGTTACCGCACCATACATCAGGTGAACAGGAGTAGGGGTGAGTAGGAGTGAGTTCTCACTCGAGAAAGAGCTTTTGAGGCGCCTAAAGAAAACAGGGGTAGAGGGGGTGAGTAGGTAGTGACACCAGAAGAAGGGTTTGGAGGTGGGGTATGGGCGCACATGCATGGACAGGGCTTGATCAGGGTGGGGTGTGTTTTTTGAGAATTCTAAAAAAAAACACTCTCGAACATATCGCCCTCCCATGGGGTATGGGCGCACATGCATTGACAGGGCTTGATCAGGGTGGGGTGTGGGTCACACACATGGGATGGCATGGCATGGCATGGCAAGACATGGCATGCCATGGCATGGCATGAGCTTGCATGAAATGGCATGCATTTGGTGAGAAGGTGCAGCTGGACGTTGGGCATGGGCCGATCTTTGAGTCGACTCAAAAATCGACTCATCACACGCGGACGTTGGGCATGGCATGGTTTGGTAATTCACCTTTTGAGCCGCCTTTTGGTTTGCTTCCTTCCTTCCCTCCTGCATTCCCTGTTCTTCCGTTCCCCTCTCCTTCCCTCATTCCGTCTCTTCTTTCGACACACCCACGGGATGGACACAGGTTTATCCTGAAGCGCAGCTCGTGCTGGCATGGCATGGCAGTCACAATAAATTAGCGAATCCCTGAAGGAAGGAGATGGGGTGGTGCTGCTAAGTGACAGGCGTTTATCCCCTCGATACCAACATTTCCCTGTTTTCCGTTCCACCTCGCCTACCCTGTGATGCATGCACACAGGTCGATCCCAAAGCACAGCTTGTGCTGGCAGTGACAAGAAACGAAGCCCTGAAGGAAGGAGATGGGGCGTTGCTGAGCGACAGGGAATCAGCCAAGGATGGGACATGTGGGGACGGGCAAGGGCAGCAAGGGGAGGAGGGAGAAAAGGGGGAGGGGGGGGAAGCGGAGGAGGAGGGGGAGAGTATGGAGGAGTTGGAGTGTTTGTTCGAGCCGGAGAGTGACGTGCTTCTGGCCCCGCGTCTGGTGGAAGGGGGAAGTGGTGGGGTTGACACGGTAGGGAGTGGGGGTGGGGGGGATGAGACTGCAGCGAATGGGGTTGGTACGGGAGAGAAGCAGAGTGCCGCCGGTAGTGGTGGCACGAGTGGGGGCGGAGCTCTGAGGGGTGTCGAGCAGGCAGCGGTGCTGGCCATGGCTGTTGACACAATGAAGCAAAACGCTGCTGATGAGCTGAGAGGTAAGTGAGTGGGATGGCTTTGAGTCGACTCAGAAATAGGTGGCAGTGCTGGCAATGGCTGTTGTGTTTTGAGTCGACTCAAAACACGACTCATTACACGGCGATGGCTGTTGTGTTGACATGGTGAAGAGAAAAACGCTGCTGATGAGATGAGAGGTGAGTGGGATGACTTTTGAAACGTCAGGGCGGGAGGAGAGGGAAGGGGTGCATTGAGGGGTGTTGAAGGGTGTTGAAGGGTGTTGAGCAGGCAGCGATGCTGGCGATGGCTGTTGATACGGTGAAGCAGAATGCAGCAGATGAGCTGAGAGGTGAGTGAGACGTTTACAAGGAAATCTGCTTGTAAATATAATATACGCCTTTTGAGATGAACATAGATTTTGTGATGCCTAAAAAGGCAGTGCTGGGCTGGCGATGGCTGTTCGCGTGGTGAAGCAGAATGCAGCAGATGAGTCGAGAGGTGAGTGCATGAGGATGTGAGTGAAGGAAGCAGTGCGAGCAGCAGTGCAGAGGAGTGCTGCCAAGAGGATGAGAGGCGAGCGGTGGGGTCTGGTGGCAGGCAGGAGCAGTGGTAGTTAGTTAGCTAGCAAGCATGGTATCACCGTAGCTCGCGTTTTCACACTGTGTGTCAACAGTTTATTTGACAGCTAGTTACTTGCCTATTCATGCTCCTTTGTTTCTTTCTTTCCTTCGTCGCTTTTGCGAAAAGAGTTGGAAACGATAGTTCATTGATGGAAAGAGAGGCATACATAGGATAGGAACCAAGAAAGGCTCGGAAGAGAAGGTGTTGGTTGGGAGCAATGGTGGAAAGAAGGAAGCACCCACCATTGGTATGCCTTCCATCCACCATTGGTATGCTGCCTTCCACCATTGGTCCCCAATTGTGGTTGGATTAACCAACCACAAGAAAGGGACCATGGGGTTGGGATGGGACAAACCACCCCACTTGCTTGTAAATTGGGGGGGGCTCCACCACAATTGGGTTGGATTGGCACCCCAATGACAAAGTGTACACTGTACGCCCACAAAAGGGTACAGTCCCAACTCGACATTACACCACACTTGGTGGTGTATAGTCACAATCTTAGCATGCTAGGATATATATATTTCCAACAGTTTTGTGTGTCAACAAATTCTCTATGTATTACTCCTTTTTTTGTGTGTTACAGGCTGGGAGGCAGCGCCTTATATCGAAGCAATCACTCTCCAGCAACACGTCCCGCCCATGGTACGCTGCTGCTGCTGTCTCTCATGCTGCCTTGTCTTGTCCCACTGCACTATACGTCTGTATCTGAGGCACTTTAAAGTCTCTCTCTTCAAACACAACTCTCTCCAACAACACGTCCCGCCCATGGTACGCTGCTGCTGCTGTCTCTCATGCTGCCTTGTCCCACTGCACTGCACTGCACTGCACTGCACTGCACGTCTGTTTCTGAGGCACTTTAAAATCTCTCTCTTCAAACACAACACTTCCAGCAGCACACCCCGCCTATGCTATGCTGCCGCACTGCTGGTCCAGTCTTCAAAGAGTCCGTTGTTAAATGCAACTGTGTTTGGCAGCACACCCCGCCTATGCTATGCTGCCGCACTGCTGGTCCAGTCTTCAAAGAATCCGTTGTTAAATGCAACTGTGTTTGGCAGCACACCCCGCCTATGCTATGCTGCCGCACTGCTGGTCCAGTCTTCAAAGAGTCCGTTGTTAAAAGGCAACTGTGTTTGGCAGCATACCCCGCCTATGCTATGCTGCCGCACTGCTGGTCCAGTCTTCAAAGAATCCGTTGTTAAAGGCAACTGTGTTTGGCAGCACACCCCGCCTATGCTATGCTGCCGCACTGCTGATTCAGTCTTCAAAGAGTCCGTCGTTAAAGCCAACTGTTTTTGGCAGCACACCCCGCCTGTGGTATGCTGTTGCTGCCTTGCCACGCTGCTCCATCATATCCACCCTCTCCTCCTCCCTGCCTCCCCTCCTTCACAGGTGAAGGCGGGGTGCTGACCTGCTGACCTGAGGTAGGAGGTGGGAACACAAGAAGACAAGAAGCTTCCACCCTCCGCTGTGTGTTCCCTCCCTAATCCTAACACCCTACCTCCGCAGGTGAAGGCAGGCTGTGAGCTTCTGAGAGTGTGATGGGAGCGCAAGCAAGGCCAACACTCATGTCTCCTCCCCTCCCTCCCTCCTCCCCTCCCTCCCGCCTCCCCTCCCTCCCGCCTCTCCTCCTTTTCCACCTCCACAGGTGTGAGCTGCTGAGGGTGCGGTGGGAGCACGAGCAAGGCTAACACTCATGTCCTTCCTCTTTCCTCCTCCTCCCTCCTTCTTCTCCCCTCCTTACGCACCTCCACAGGTGAAGGCGGGGTGTGAGCTGCTGAGGGTGCGGTGGGAACGCAAGCGACCGCACACGCGGCAGAGGGCGGTTGCGACGATGGAGAGACTGGTGAGTGGGGCATGGGAGTGGATACAATGGGCTGACAGGACAGATACTGCAGCTTCAGACATGGCATCTGCGGACCTCACCCGCGGCAGAGGGCGGTTGCAACGATGGAGCGACTGGTGAGTGGAGAGTGTGTGGGTGAGTGACAGACGTTACAGCTTGAGACGTCTCAGCGGCATCAGGTGAGCGACCGCACACACGGCAGAGGGCGGATGCGACGATGGAGAGACTGGTGAGTGGGAACGGATGGGTGAGGTGAGGAATACAATGGATTGGTTGGAGTGACAGATGCTACAGCTGGAGACGCCTCAGTGGCATCTGGTGAGCGCTCGCACTCACGGCAGGGGACAGTGGCGACGATGGAGCGACTGGTGAGCTGGGATTGGAGTGAATGGGGTGGCACACACGCACACACATTACATTTCAGTGTCGGACATCGAAGCAAAATCTGCTGCTTGCACACGCGGCAGGGGACAGTGGCGACGATTCAGTGCTGTGCTGTTCTGTGCTGTTGTGTGCTGTGCTGTGCTGTGCTGTGCTCTGCTGTGCTGCACTGTGCGGTGCTCCCGCTTCAGATCCAGTCAGTCTCACATCAAGAAAAGAGAATCCGCCAGCAGCAATCGCAAGCAGCCTCGGGATCATCAGGAGGAGCTGTGGCGGCTACGTTGCCGGAGGAGGAAGCGAGAGAAGCAGCAGAGAGGATGAAATACTGCTTCGCTGTTTGGTTTCCCACCACGCCTGCTCTCTTCAAGTGAGTCACAGCCTGCTCTTTTCAAGCGAGCCATGTTATACGTTTGAGTCGACTCAAAAGAGAAGCAGCAGAGAGGATGAAGTACTGCTTCGCTGTTTGGTTCCCCACCACGCCTGCCCTCTTCAAGTGAGCTTTGCTAGAAGTGATCCTGAAGGCTCGATCAAACAACCCTCCATTCAATCTGCCTCCACTTCATTTCTACAATGGAGTCGTGCAAGTGGACCACTTACATTCAATGGAGTCGTGCAAGTGGACCACTTGCACTTGCACGCCCTTCATTTCTCCATGGTCTCAAACTCCATTGTATCCATTGCACGGCGTGCCGATCAGTATTTGCCTCTTCAGCTCGCCCCAATTCTTCCAACGTTTGTACACCTCAACCCCCCCAACCCAACCTCCTCACTCACATCCTGGCCTTCCCATGTCCCCGTTTACAGGCCCCTTGCAGGGAGAACTTAGTCCTGCCAGGCAGTAACAACTGCTTTGCCCAGGGGTGTTGCATCGACTGGACAACTGCTCTCTCCCGACCGCTTCCCCCTTCCATCTCCATCCACCACCCACCCACACGCACAGGGAGTATGGAGAGCTGCTGGTGGCGAGCGGGTGTGTGGGCGAGGCCATGCGTGTGTTTGAGACAAATGAGCTGTGGGACCATCTCATCGACTGCTACAGGTGAGCTGGGAGCACGGGTGCACTTCGGTTCACACGGCCACCATGTGAGGGTGCACACCTCTCTTTCAACAGGCTGCTTTAAGCCTTGAGATGCCTTGAAGCTCACGAGGCCATTCGTGTGTTCGAGACAAATGAGCTGTGGGAGTGGGACCATCTCATCGACTGCTACAGGTGGGCTGCGAGGGTACTCTAAATTCACACTTCTAGTTGTGTTCTGCAAGGGTGCACTTCACACAGGTGTGTTCTGAATCAAGTCAAGATGACCTGTTTGAGGGAACGAGCCGTGCGAGCGACCACCTTACCGACTTCTACAGGAGGGATACTTTTATCGACTCAGATATCCTCTTGAGTCTTCAGGCAGGCCTTGAAGTTAGAGAATGGCATGTGCCTCAGTAGAAGATTGGCACGTGCGGCTCAAACTGGAAGGTAGAGAATGTTAAGGATCCCGATGTTGATGCACACGGTAAGGCTCATCTTGAGCAAGGGGGGGGGTTGCAATTGTGGTACGTAGTAGAATGGATATCGGAGCTCTCATATCGCTTTCTGCCTCCCCACCCCTCTCCCTCCACTCCATTCCCCCCATTCATTCTGCTGCTGGGCAAGCGAGCAGCAGCAGCAGCGCCGGTGGCAGGGAGGAGAAGAATGCTCCTTTTATTGCGTCGGCTCTAAAGGCTTCACTTCCTACCTCTCCGCACCTCCACCCCCCTCCAACCCCCCTCCCATCCCATCTCAGCATGTTGGGCAAGCGGGCAGCAGCAGCAGCGCTGGTGACGGCTAGGCTGAAGGAGCAGAAGGAGGATCCGCGCCTGTGGTGCTGCCTGGGGGATTTGACGGAGGAGAGAGAGTGCTATGAGAAGTCTTGGGAGTTTTCGAGGCACAGATACGCACGCGCTCAGGTATGAAGATTGGTGCAGTGCAGCAGTGTGTTGCGTTACGGTGCGGTGCTTCGTTGCGTATGTATTTGAGTGTGTGTGGTGGTGGCTCTCTGCCTGGGTGATTTGACGGAGGAGAGAGAGTTTTCCAGACACAGATACATGTGTGCGCAGGTGTGGAGAGCGGTGCAGTATGGTGTTGTGCAGTGCAGAGTGGTAAAGTGCGTTGCAGGGCAGCACTTTGTTAAGTTGTAGGGTGTGTGAGTTATGGTGGTGCTGCTTGGGGGATTTTACAGAGGAGAGGGAGTGTTATGAAATGGCGTGGGAGTTTTCCAGGCACAGATATGCACGCGCACAGGTATGTAGTGGTGGTTGGAATGGTGGTCGAAGGGATTTGACAGATGAAAAAAAACGCTTCTAGAAGGCTTGAAAATTTTCCAGGCCCAGATGTGCACGCGCTCGAGTCAGGTGTGGAGAACAGTGCAGTGCGGTGCGGTGCTTTGTCGTGTAGTGCATGCAATCATTCGGTGGCGTGTGCGGCAATGTGTAGTGCATTTCAGTACTGTGTTTTAAGGGTTGACTACTCTGCTGATCCTGAGAACTTGCTTTCTTCCTTACGCTCCCTCCCCTCGCCCTCCAGTCTGCCGTTCCTCTTCATCCCACTTCATCCCTCTTCACCCCTCTTCATCCCTCTTCACCCCTCTTAATACAAAGAGCACGAGCTCGCATGGCAACGAATGCAAGGGACTTCAAAGCAGTCATGGCGCAGGATGACTTTTGAGTCGACTCAAAACGAGGTGACTTTTGACTTTTGAGTCGACTCAAAAGTCACCTAGTCGACTCAAAAGTCACCTCGACTCAAAAGTCACCTCATGGCAACGAATGCAAGGGACTTCAAAGCAGTCATGGCGCAGGATTAGCCGGTGTCCGCCGCCCTCTCTCACTGCATCTATTCCTCTTTCCCTCTACTCTCCTCCCACCCCCCATCACAGAGAGCACTGGCGCGCATGGCAATGAACGCCAGGGACTTTAAAGCAGCCATGGCTCACTGGGAGGCTTCAAAAGTAGAGGCTGCTCTTCAACACTCTCCACTCCTCTCCACCCATCTCCATCCCTCTTCACCCTTTTTAATACAGCGAGCACTAGCGCGCATGGCAATGAACGCCAAGGACTTCAAAGCAGCCATGGCTCACTGGGAGGCTGCTGTGGCCATCAGCCCGCTGCATGCGTCTGCCTGGTTTTCTCTGGGCTACTCTGCCATTCAGGTGGGTGTAGTGCGGTGCAGAGAGAGAAAGAGCCACCTCAACCAGGACCATTGGCGTTCTTTCACCATGTGCAGCGCATGCATGTAGGCCCCTGTTGATTGAACAGCACAAGGCGCTCTATGATCTCACACACATTCTCCCATCAGCGTGCATCCATGTTTGCCCTGCCTCTCGTTCGTGGGCTTGTTGCAGGCGTGTGACGGGGACAAGGCGCTGTATGCACTCACGCGTTCAGTGCAGATCGACCCAGACAACGGGGAGGCGTGGAACAACCTCGCCGTGCTGTGAGTGCCCAGGGCATGCTGTGATGTGATTGATAAGCTCATGCTGTGAGCCCTCAGGTCATGCTTGCACTGCCCTAGTCATGCGCCTACAGGCGTGTGATGGGGACAAGGCCCTGTACGCTTTAACGCGCTCAGTGCAGATCGACCAGACAACGGAGAGGCATGGAACAACCTGGTTGTGCCGTGAGTGCTCGCTCTATGCTGTGAGCGCCCAGTCCGTGCTGTGAGCGCCCAGTCCGTGCTGTGAGCGCCCAGTCCGTGCTGTGAGCGCCCAGTCCGTGCTGTGAGCGCCCAGTCCGTGCTGTGAGCGCCCAGTCCGTGCTGTGAGCGCCCAGTCCGTGCTGTGAGCGCCCAGTCCGTGCTGTGAGCGCCCAGTCCGTGCTGTGAGCGCCCAGTCCGTGCTGTGAGCGCCCAGTCCGTGCTGTGAGCGCCCAGTCCGTGCTGTGAGCGCCCAGTCCGTGCTGTGAGCGCCCAGTCCGTGCTGTGAGCGCCCAGTCCGTGCTGTGAGCGCCCAGTCCGTGCTGTGAGCGCCCAGTCCGTGCTGTGAGCGCCCAGTCCGTGCTGTGAGCGCCCAGTCCGTGCTGTGAGCGCCCATTCCGTGCTGTGAGCGCCCAGTCCGTGCTGTGAGCGCCCAGTCCGTGCTGTGAGCGCCCAGTCCGTGCTGTGAGCGCCCAGTCCGTGCTGTGAGCGCCCAGTCCGTGCTGTGAGCGCCCAGTCCGTGCTGTGAGCGCCCAGTCCGTGCTATGAGCGCCCAGTCCGTGCTGTGAGCGCCCAGTCCGTGCTGTGAGTGCCCAGTTACCATGCTTGCACAGTACTGGTTGTGCTTTATTGTCCACCCACTCCACCGCTTGTTGTCAACAAGATGTTGACATGCGAGGTTGCTGCACATCCAGCAGGCAAAGATGCATTACGTTAATAACATGCATGGATCAGCTTGACATGCATGGATCAGCTTGACTTGCATGGATCAGCTTGACATGCATGGATCAGCTTGACATGCATGGATCAGCTTGACATGCATGGATCAGCTTGACATGCATGGATCAGCTTGACATGCATGGATCAGCTTGACATGCTTGGATCAGCTTGACTTGCGTTGCTCACTATTCGTGTGTTCCGTTCCTTTTTATCGATTTTGTAGTCATTGCTTGAGTAGGTTTTGTATTCGATTTTAGGATGCTCAGCCATGGACATAACTTGCCATTCCCACCTTTATGCATACCCCTTGGCATGGCAGCAACTTACAGCGCAACCGCATGCAAGAGGCATTTAAGACACTACAGGAGGCGCTCAAGCACAAGTGAGTGGGATGCGATATGAGGGATTGTGATGTGGTACGAGGGAGTGCAATGTGGTACGAGGGAGTGCGATGGGATATGAGGAGTGACGTGTAGCAAGTAGGCAGGATAAATGACGAGTTGCGGATACCCGCAGGAGAATCACTGTGATTCATTCATCACTCCTCATCACTCTTGCTTCCCCATCTCTCCTCCCTATTACTTCCTTCCACCTCTCGTCCTCCTCCTTCATCCCCCCCTGCACAGGGGAGAGGACTGGCATCTGTGGGAGAACTTTGCAAAAGTGGCTCTGGACGTCAAGAGCTACCAGCAGGTGCGCTGTGCGGTGCCAGCAGGTGTAATGCGGTACCCACAGGTCTGGTGCCAGCGGGTGTGGTGCCAGCAGGTGCGGTGCGAGCAGGTGCGGTGGGGTGCCAAAAGGTGGAGTGGTGTTAGCGGTAGGCAGGTGGGGTGTCCTCAGCGACGTGTTATCGCATGGGCACCTATGACATTCAAATCGGCCTTTTAACTTGTCGGGCCTGAAAACTGTCAAGAGAGTGTACATGGCTGGTTCACTTTTGAGGCGCCTCAAAAGGGAGTGTACATGGCTGATTGATTCACCGCCTGAATATTGGCCCTCTCCAATTGGACCCATGGCAAGCAAGCAAATGCACTGCACACATGTCTCTCCCTGCTGCTTCCTCTCACCCCTGCTCTCCCCTTCCCTTTTACCATCCCTGTCTCTGACCCCATCCTACCCGCTTCCAACCTTGTCCTTCGCTTCTCTCCCTCTCCCAAAAAGGATCAGAGAAGCATCACAATTTCTGGCGCTGAACCGTCCTGTTCCCACCCGCCCTCTTCCCCCTTCCCCCCTCTCCCTGTCCACCCCCCAAAGGCGGTGAGAGCAGCATCACGAGTGCTGGAGCTGACTCAAGGCAAGCGGGTCGACATGGGTAGTGCTTTATTCCTCCCTCCCTGTCCTCCTCATCTACCGCCCCTGCCCCGGCCCCAACGTACCTTCACGACCCGCACTCTCCTCTCTCCCCCCTCTCCCTCCCCCATAGGCGGTGAGAGCAGCATCACGAGTGTTGGATCTGACTCAGGGCAAGCGAGTCGACACGGGTGTTGCTCTCTTCCTGCTCTCTCCCCTCTCTCTTTCTGCTCTCCTCATCCCTTTATCTTCCCTGCTCCGCAATCTTTGCCCACCATTGAAGGCGGTGAGAGCAGCCTCACGAGTGCTGGAGCTGACTCAGGGCAAGCGGGTCGACACGGGTGTGCTAGAGGCGCTGATAGCAGTGGTGGAGAGGAATAGAGGAGGCGGGAGAGAGGGGGGGGGGGAGGAGGGAGGGGACGAGGAGGGAGGGAGAACGGGAGAGGAGGAGGGGGGGACTGAGGGTGGTGGGGAGGGGTTGGAGGAGAAGGATGGAGATGGTGGTGAGTTGGATGATCTGATGATTAGTTTACAGCCGTTGGATCTTGGCAAGATGGCAGGGAGGGAGGAGGCATTGGGAGGGGAGGGTGGAGGAGAGGGGAATGGTGTGCCAGAAACGAATGGTGCTTATAAGGAGGATGGTGGGACGGAGGCAGGGAGTGGTGGTTCCATGAATGAGAGGGAAGCTGCCAGGCTTGAAATTGAGCTGAAGAAGCTTCTGGGGAAGGTGTGATGTCATCTCCTGTGCTTGCCGAATCTGCTTGCTGCCCGTGCATCCTAAGTTCCTCCATTGCTGCCTCCTGTCACATAGCTTCTGATTGGTTAATGAGACCCATTGAGGGAGACACCCCAGTTTGTTCCCCCCCGTCCCCCCCCCTCCGCCTCCCTTTCGCCCTCTCCCCTTCTCCTTACAACCATCTCCTCACAGTTTCTCAGCCACCACATTCCCCCATCCCCCTTCCACTTCACTTCCCAATCCAACTTCCTCAATCAAATGTTAACAGGCTGTGGCACCGGTAACGGGCCATAAGTCTGACATGACAATGAAATTACCTGAACCATCACATCTCTCAAATCAAGCCCCTGCCACCTCAATTGTCAACCTCTCCAAGTCCAATCAAACGCCAACAGGCAGTGGCATCAGGTGCACGCTTGCTAGTTAGTATGGATTGACAGGCAAATTACCTCAACCCCTGCATCCCCTCAACCCCCAACCAACTCACTTCTCAACCTATCCAAACAATCATCAAACAAGCAGTGGCATCAGGAGCTGGCATGCTGGATGTTTTACTGCTTGACAGACATATCCCGTAACCAACACATCTTCTCAACCCCCCCGAACCCCACTTGTCAACCCAACCAAACCCAAACGTACACCAACAGGCGGTTGCATCAGGAGCAGGAGTGCCGGAGATTTACCGCCTGCAAGGAACCTTCCTGGAAGCCGTGGGCGACGCTGACGTGGCAGCAGAGGCCTTCCTGCGCCACGTGCGCTCGCTGCAGTCCGCCAGCTGGCAGCACGGCGAGCCCGACGCGTTCCGCCAGCTGGCGCGGGCGGCGCTGAGGTGGACGGCGGCGGTGGTGCAAGGGGTGGCGGGGGAAGAGGGGGTGGAGGAAGTGAAGCGGGGAGGAGTGGAGGAGAGCGAAGGGGAGGGTGTGAGAGTGAGTGGTGCTGGCAAGAGGAGGTTGGCATCTGTTCGCATGCTTCTAAGCAACATTTGGAAGCAGGTAAGGTGGAAAGGGAAGGTGTTGTTACAACTTGGTACATTCTACCGGCATTGTGATTGCATGTCCGATTGCTTTCGCTTGAAAGGGATGGAAAGAGTTACTAGGCATTTGTGTAATTCATTTTCCAAGCACGTATGCATGTCTGCAAGCTCCCAGCTTACCTTTCTCTTGTTTGTCTGCAGGGAGACCATTTTTCTGAGTTTGGAGAGTTGAAAGCAGCTTTGGGGGCGGTTAGCACTATGGAGGCTAGAGGGGAATAGAGGTGGTGATACTGTTGTAACATGAATCAGACATTTGTGTTGCTTCCTTCCTTGAATAGAAATGGGTCTAGATATATTTAATTGCAAACAATAAATCACAAGAAATCTGGAAACCTGTAAACATAAACTTTTTTATAACACTCTCACGGTGGTGTTACAGACTCGCTCTGACGCTGCGACTCGCTCCTCCATCGTACTGAACCGTCTGCTGCCGTTTTGTCAACCCGTCCCCCCAGATGTCAAGCTATGGCTACTGCTATTCTGGCGCGTCGCATCACCATCCCACCAGTGCAACAATCTCTCTCGAGTCGCAATCCACTGCCTTGAAGTGCCAAACTGCAGTTTCACAGCCGTCTATTTATCTCTAGCAAGACTTTCCCTGCTCAATCAACTTCATCTACTCCGTGCAAATGCTCCAGGTTCCCACAGCCGAGCCTCGCTATTAATAAATCGGTTTGACTCTATACCGCGTATAGTCCAACCGCATAGTGTACATAGTGTTAGACGATTGTCACCCGCGTCGTACTCATCCCAGCGACTCGACTCACCGCGAAGAAACATCAACAGAAGCGGAGGTCGCGGGTTCTAAGCCATCTGAACCCCCGAGTATCGCTAACAGCACCGCCGCTAACAGCACCGCCGCTAACAGCACCGCCGCTGACAGTGCCGCCGCTCGCGGGCTCGAAGGTACCGTCGGAGCCAAGCCGAGCTTCTGAACCGAGTCAAAGGCCTTTTGAACCGACGCAAATGCCATCTAAGCCAGCTGCGCCGCGGCGGTCGCTGACGGCGGCGGAGCTGGCGGGGTTTAGCGCTCTCCCCGTGCACTCGTTCCTCGGCCTGCGCTTCCTCTCCGCCTCCCCCGATCAAGTCGTAGCTACTCTCGTCTCCTCGCCCTCCTCTGCCCAGGTAGAAACGAACTCTTCTCCATCTCCTTATTATCCCCTTCTTTTCCCCCTCTTCTCCCGCTCCTTGCCTCCTTCCCACCTCCTTCCCCACCTCCTTTGCTAAAGGTTATTGCTGGGTATGCCCCTTCTGGGGGGCGTGGAGGTGCAATCATTCGCTGCTCTCCCGTTCACTCCTTCCCCAGCCCTCCGCTTCCTCTCCGCCGCGCATTCCCTCTCGCTTCCTCTCCGCCGCGCATTCCCTCCGCTCAGGTACTACTCGCCCCTTCACATCTCCTTACACCCCTTTCCCCCCCGCTTGGCCCGCTCCTTCCCACCCGCTCCTCACCTCCTTGCCACCCGCTCCTCACCTCTCCTTCCCACCTCCTTCCCACCTCCTTCCCACCTCCTTCCCACCTCCTTCCCACCTCCTTCCCACCTCCTTCCCACCTCCTTCCCACCTCCTTGCCACCTCCTTCCCGCCTCCTTCCCACCTCCTTGCCACCTCCTTCTCGCCTCCGTTTTAACTCCTTGCTGGTAGTTGTTGCTGGTGTCCGCTTCTGAATGGCGCGGCGTGGCGGTGCCATGCGTTTCTCTCCCCCTGCACTCCTTCCTCGCCCCGCGCTTCCTCTCCGCCTCTGCCTGTGCGTTCCTCTCCTTTGTCCTCGCCTCCTCGCCTCCTCGTCTCCTCGCCTCCTCGCCTCCTCGCCTCCTCGCCTCCTCGCCTCCTCGCCTCCTCGCCCTCCTCCGCTCAGGTGATGGTTACCCCTTTCCATCTGCTCACCACCACCCCCTTCCTCCCCTGCTTGCCCTCTCCCTTCCCACCCGTTCATCACCTCCTTTCCAACTCCTTGTTGGTGACAATCGCCGGTGCCCTTTGGGATGGCGTGGAGGTGCGACATCGTGGAGGAGTTCGTGCACACAAAAGTGTGCATCGGATGCTCTTATCCGTCTCCTCTTCACTCCTCCCCACTCCTCCGCACCCCTCCCTCCCCACTCCTTCCCACTCTTCCCCATCCCTTCCAGACGTTTGCCAATCTACACGGGTGGTGTCAGCGTTAATAGCGGAGGCAGTGGGCAGTCTAGGCGCCGCCGTCGCTGCTCGTGCGCCGGTGGTGGGGATGAGGAGGCATGCACTTTTTCCCCTCCTTCGCTCTCCTGTAAACTCCTCCCAGCCTCTCCCCACTCCTCTCGTCTCCTTCCCACTCTTCCCCACCGTTTCCAGCCGTTAGGCAACCTGCATGGGGGGGTGTCAGCGCTGGTCACGGAGGCAGTGGGCAGTCTAGGCGCTGCTGTCGCTGCTGGTGCGCCGGTGGTGGGGGTGGAGGTGGCATGCAGTCACCTCAGAGGCGCACCCATGGGCACTCCTCTCATTGCTGTTGGCACTCCCTTGAGAGTCGGCCGCACCGTTCAGGTGTGTGGGTGTGTGAGTGGGTGCGTGTGTGTGTATGTGTGTGTGGGTGTGTGTGTGTGAGTGGGTGTGTGTGTGTGTGAGTGGGTGTGTGTGTGTGTGAGTGGGTGTGTGTGTGGGTGTGTGTGCGTGTATGTGCGTGTGGGTGTGTGTGTGTGTGATTGGGTGTGTGTGTGCGCGCGCGTGCCTGTGATGACGCATTGCAGGCAGATTTAGCCGCAAACCATCCACAAACCATTAAACCATTCACAAACCGTTTAAAAACCATTGACACACCACTCAACCGTTCTCAAAACCATTCACAAATCCAGGTTTGGGAGGTCCGCCTGTCAGCTTCAAGCGACCGTGTGCTGGCACAACAAGGCGAGCCAGCCCCTGCTAGCGAGTTGACTCTTGAGTCGACTCAAAAGGCAGCAGCAACATGGTCTCGTCACTTGCCCTCCCTATCGCACTCACAGTCACCAGACAGCAAGACAGGCCCGAGCCTAGAGCCTCAGCAGCAGCCGTTGCCACCTGATTGCACACCTGATTGCACACCTGAGGGCTTTACGGCTGGCCGATTGCTGGCAGTGGGGCGTCTGACGTGTGTTGCCTGGCCCCAGAGCCGTGGAGGAGGGGCGAATGGGGAGAATGGGAATGGAGGGGAGGCGAAAAGGAATGGAGGCGGCGAGAAGGGAGCAAACGGGAGTGGAGGAGAAGCATCGAGGCGAGAGGAAAGTGGAGCGTTGGGGAACCGAGAGGAGGGAAGTGGAGAGGCGGAGCTGAAGCAGCGGATCGGGGAGAGTAAGGATGAGCATGAGGGCGCACGTGCATGTCTCTGCCTCGAATCCCCTCGATTCGACTCGCCTCCCTTCAACCGTCTGCCCATCCACAAGTTCATCGGCCTTCGCTTCCTCTCTGCCTGCCCTCACCGCGTCGTTGCGGCGTTCGTCTCGTCTCCAGCAACCGCTCAGGTACTGCTGCTGGCTGGTCAAAAGGTGACTTGTGAGTCGACTCAAAAGTCGTCTCTTCCCTGACAACCGCTCAGGTACTGCTGCTGGCTGGTCAAAAGGTGACTTCTGAGTCGACCTTAAAGGCATCTCCTGCAACCACTCAGGTACTGCTGCTGGCTTCTGTCTGTGTATGTATGTCCATGCCTCTCTTTCAATCTCTTGACCCCTCTCCCCCACGTTCCCCTCATTTTCTCTCATCCCGTCTCTATCGCCTTTTCATTGATAGGAGCGGTATACACACGTGCAAGGTATACACCCGCCTCTCTCTCGTTCTCTCTCATTCTTTCTCTCAATTGCTCTCCTCCCCCCTCCTTTCCCAGCCCTTCAACAACCTGAAGGGGGGAGAGGGGGTTATCAGCCCTAATCGAAGAGTCTGTGTGGGAGCAAGCCTAACAGCAGCAGGAACGATGGCAGTCTGCTAGCAGGCGTTACAGGGACGATGGCAGGACTGGTAGCAGGCATCACAGGGATGGGACGACTAGACAGCAAGTCTTGCAGCAAGGGGGGCAGAGGCAGAATGCCCAAGAGCACACACCTCCTCGTACACTCCCCTGTCATCCTCTACCCCTCCCTCCCCTCCCCCATCCCAGCCCTTGAACAACGTGCACGGGGGAGTATCAGCCATAGTCACGGAGACGCTGGGCACTACGGGCTCGAGCCTAGCAGCAGGGGGGCTGGTGGTGGGAGTGGAGGTGGCCATCAGCCATCTCAGGCCGTGCCCCCTCGGCACTCCCGTGGTTGCTGTCGCTGTGCCGCTGCGAGCGGGGCGCACTGTTCAGGTATGCAGGGCAGCAAGTAGGGATGATCACACTAGTAGCAGGGGGAGTGGAGCGAACCTAGCAGCAAGGGATGCAGTGGCAGGGGTATAGGTGGCCACCAGCCACAGGCCGGCTATATTGGAGCGACTTTTGAGAATTCTCAAAAGTCGCTCCAACCTAGCAGCAAGGGATGCAGTGGCAAGAGTATAGGTGGCCACCAGCCACAGCCTAGGCCGTGCTCCCTCGGCACTCCCGTTACCACTGTTGCTGTTCGTCTGCTCCTGATTGTGCAGATAGTGAGGGGCAGCAGGTAGGGACAAATTAGGAGGGTTGAAGGGGACCAGCAGGTATGCCGTCTTCAGGAATTGCTGCTGCTTGTTTGCACCCACTGCTTCGTGACGGTTGGGTCGACTCAAAAGACAGGCATGTACTCACTGCTTCCTCGTGTCGCCCACTGCCTCTCATCTGTTGCGGTCCCTTCATTGCCTCTCAGGTGTGGGAGGTGCGCTTATCCGTCCAAAAGCTAGACAAACAGAGGCGAGACGAGCAGAGGCAGAGCCATCAGGATGTGGGGGAAGCGTCTGGAGGGAGGACTACTTTGAGTGCTCCCAGGGCAGGGCAACTACTGGCAGTGGGACGGCTGACAGCGGTGGTGGTGGGCAAGGGGGATGGCAAGGAGAGGAGCAAGGCAAGGCTGTGAATGGAATTGTGGTGACTCCAAATGGTGCAGTCTATTGGTATCGTCTGGCGGTGGGGCGGATGACAGTGGTGGTGCTGGAGAAGGGAATGGGGAGGAAAGGAGGCAGGAGAAGCTGTGATGGAATGGTGGTGGTGACGCGTAGTGTATTCTGAACATAATCAATCTTGTATTATCCCACCTTCCCTACTCTATATCTTGTAACAATTCCAACAGTGAAGTGAACCCCTTCCTTCTCCCGAAACTCTCTAGTCATGCTCCTAGGCTAGGGTTTCTCCTAACCTAAGCCTAGGTAGTTCTCTATTCTGACATCCTAACGCGTCACAACAATACCAGTTGGCATCTACATTTTGAGACCGGTCTTGGCAATTACTTCTACAGTATGTAATATACTAATTTCCAGTACTAGCAATCACACCACACCAAACGCCCTGAGGCATGCGCCAAGCTCACCCTGAAAATAAGAGATCCAGAGCATTCTCGCTTGCCATCGAAGCACCCGAGGAACTAAGAGAGGCAGAATCTTCGCCTTCATGTACATTCCGGATAACCTCTCTGCGCCTCGCACTCCTTCCCGATTCAATAAATACTCCTCTTTTACACCACTCCGCCTGGCTTCTCCCCTCAGCCACCCCACTGTCAAACACATTCACATGCCTGAGCGCCCTGGTCTCTCTAAGCGAGTCCGGGAGAGACATGAGCGCCACACATCCCTGCAGATGCAGCACCTCTAGTCGCAGCAGCAGGCCCATGTGGGGAGGCAGGGAGTGCAAGCGCTTGCAGAAGCTCAAGTTGGCCACACGGAGGGACGGCAGGAAGGGGAAGGAGGTGGGCAGGTGAGTGAAGGAGTCGCAGTGGGTGATTGTCAGCCGGGCCAGTCGGGGCAGGGAACCGAAGCCATGAGGGAGGGTGGAAAGCTGCGGGCACTTTGTGATGGTGAGGTGGAGGAGAACGAGTCGGGGAGGCTGTGCAAGCGCGAGCAGGAGTGGATGGAGAGGCGTCGGAGGGCGCCTAGGGAGCCGAAATCAGTGGGTAGGGTGACAAGACAATTGCTACCGGTGATGGTGAGTGTGCGGAGGTGAGAGAGGAGGCAGAAGGAGGGAGGCAGGCTGGCAAGGGCTGGACAGCTCAGAGATGCTTCTTGCAGGGAGGTCAGGCCGCTGAGAGCGCCTGGAAGCCGATCCAGATTGTCACAATCGACAGAGAGAAACTGCAACGCGCCTAGCCTCGCCAGGGATGCTGGAAGGCCGTTCTCCGAGACACGCCCTTTCAGCTCTAGCCACTCCAGAGCTGACAGCTGGCCGATGTTCTCTGGGACGACAGGCTCGGTGCGTGCAAGGTGGGCATGGATCCGAGTGCAATAGGCACTCTTCTTGATTGATAGCTTGTGGAGTGAGAGCAGGCGGGCGAGGTGAGGAGGAGGAGAGGGAAGGAAAACACCTGTGAGGTGAAGATCGGTTAAGGAGGTTAAGTGGGAGATGAATGAGGGCAGGGTGAGGCGACTGCCCTCCGAGCTCGTGGTGCTGGTGGTGGTGGTGCTGCTACTGGCGGTGGAGGAAGAGTCGTACTCCAGCGATAAGGACTGGAGGGATGGAGCGAGGAGAGAGAGGGAGTCTGGGAGGCGGAGGAAGCAGCCGGAGAGGGAGAGAGAGCGGAGGTTGGTGAGGTGGCCGAAGGCAGAAAGCGCAAGGCTGTTGGGCTTGAGATGGGTGATGGAGAGGTGCGTGAGCGAGCCGAGGGACCAGAGGCGGGCGGACAGGAAGCTGCCTTGCGTGCTATTGCCGCCTAACGTCAATTCTAGGTGCTGCAACGAGAGGCCGAGAGGCGAGCAAGCCCCGGCTTGCGCGGCGGCTGCAGCGGCAGCGGTGGCGGCGGCAGCGGCAGCAGAAGCAGCAGTGGCCAAAGCAGCACCAGCACTAGCGGCAGCGGCAGCAAGAGGAGCGGCAGCAGGAGGAGCGGCAGCTGCAGCGGCGGCGGCGGCTGAGGCAGCGGCAGCAGCGGCGGTTTCCGAAGCGAGGGTTAGGGGTAGATAGGCCAGCAATGACCCTTTGCATGCGTCGTCGCCTTGTTCCATCCATGCAACTCTGTCCACGCTCATGTGAGACAGCGACGGCAAGGAGAACAAACCCACGGGAAAGTCCGCATTCTCAGTAACGACGCGGGCGTGAATTGAACCCGAGACCTTGAGCCGTTGGAGGGAGGTCAGTCGACTGAGGGGGTGGAGCGGCACAATAGACTCAACACCCTCTAGAGTCAAGTGGCGCAGCTGTGGGTCCCAGACTACTTGGTCGAAGGGGAACGACTCGAGGTGATTGCAGGAGAGCAGGGTGAGGCGAGTTAGGGTTTCCAGCCACGTGGGCGGGAGAGAGCGCATACGGCATTCGTCCAGCGTGACCTCTTCCAGCTTCGCCCACGCGTCGCACGCGTCTGGTAACTCGTCGTCGAAGCGTCGCAGCTCCAGGCGCCGCAACTTCTGCAGCGCGCTGATGTTACTCGGGACATGCAAGTGGCATGAGCAGTCGATGCGGAGAGAGGTGAGCGACGGGAGGTCGCCCAGAGAATTCGGCAGGCGGAAAACCGGAGAGTTCTCGCACTCGCCAATGGAGAGGTGCGTCAAGATTTTCAGCTGCCCGAAATTCTCGGGCAGCTCCCACAGTTCCGGACAGTTGAGATGCAACTCCCGGAGCGCGGGCAGAAGGCACAGTCCGTCCGGGAGGTGCCAACTCGTTGGCGCGGAGGCGAAGCACGCGCAGCGACGAGAGCGACGAGATGGAATCAGGAAGCTCGGTTACGTTGGAAGGAAGCACCAGAGCGAGCTCCTGTAACTGCGGCGCCGCGGCGCGGAAGAATGAGTCGAGCGATGCGAGGCTGATTGTGAAGGCGGCGGTGCGGCGGTGAAACGAGGCTCGCCGAGGCTGAGGCGCGTGAGCTTGGGACAAGCGGCGAGCACCGAGCTAAGGAAATCGTGGTCGTAAAAATCGACGGCACCGTCGCCCAGCGTGAGGGAAGTCGCGCTCGGCACGCGGGACAGCGTGCGGAGGAGCGCGGGCGCGGAGAGCGTGGGGACGGGAAGCAGCGAGTCGTCTTGACCGTCAGGGTCCTTCCGACGAGATGACGAGTCAAGGGCAGCGCTTATGCGCACAACGCTGGGGAGCAGCGAGGCCCATCGCTTCGACACCATCCCCAAGCCATGGCACGGGCTGACATCGGACTCGACGCTGGGCTCCGCGTCACTCGCGGCCGCGTCGACTTGAGAGTCATTGCGGGGGGTTGTTGCGAGGAAGAGAATCCTGGATAGGATCTCGTCAGGTAAACTGTTCATTGCCGCTGATGACTCCCTTCCCGCTTGCTGCTGCTGCTGCTGGGGGATGGACCTGGATGCTCGTAACGCGAATGCTCGTAACGGAGATGCTCGTTATGAAGGTGCTCGTCACCTAATTCCTCCACGCGCCAGACGACTTAGGCGGATTCATAAATTTCCCGCCAAATGTATGTGGCGGTTCGTGATGCCGATAAAGCTTTCTAGATCTGGAATGCGGAGTGCAGCCAATCTCGGACCACAGGAGGAGAAAAAGTTGGAGTGTGGGTGATATAAGGGCGCGTGACTAGTGACTGGTTCGAAGCCCGGAACCGTTTCGGGTAACTCCCTTCCTCAATTCGCAAACGGCTGTACGACATCGCACTCATACGCAACTGATCTTCTTGCCATTCAAATCCTGACAAACGATAGAAACAGCCGTCACGCACCTCGCAACAATGGTCAGAAATGACCGGCGTGCGAAAACAGCATACGAAACTGGTAAGTATGCGAACGCCGCGCATTGGGTAAGGGCTCGTATACTTTTCAATGTAAACAACATACTTTTTGGTAAGTATGCCAAAAAGTATACGAAACTGGTAAGTATGCGAACGCCGCACATTGAAAACAGGGAAAATATGTCAATGGTAACTTACATGGGGCACTATAACGCGTACGGTAACGATTTCAACGCGTTTGGTAACTCGCTTAAAACCCAGGGGTCACAGCTTTCAACCTGTTACGAGTGCAATTGAATGAACGAGCGAGAATTGCACTATCGAAGCAAGAGTACAATGAGCGAAGGCATGAGCGAAGAATATATAGCGAAACTATAGTGGTAACGGTAATGTGTGAAAAGTGGGGTGCGCGACGGGCCTAGTGCCGAGGTTGGGAGATGTCGAGGCAGAGGTCCGGAGCGCGGGTTACCAACCGAACCGTGAGGCTGGGTCGCGTCGTGAACGGTGGCGGGAATGGTGTCGAAGCGAATGTCGCGAGTGGTAACGGATTACTGTTGGGTGCTGCTGGCGGGAACAGTGGTGTACGCGCTGAGCAGGGACGCGAAGTAAGGAAAAGGGATTTTCCTTACACTACCTCCCTCCCCAAGGAGGCCCTTCTTACGAGAGCGCGTGTACATCTCGGAAGTTTCGGCTTCGCACATACTCAGTGAGGACAGGGTGATTCTCAATTCTATCCAGGGGGACCCAGTTGTCTTCGGTGGGCGTGCGATCCTTCCAGCGGATCAGAAATTCGATTCTGCGAGCTCCTCGTGGGTCACGTACTCGATGGCTCAGTATTTTCTCAGGCGTGATGATTGGCTCAGTAGGTGGTCGTGTCATGCTGGCGGGGCGATTGCGAGGCAGTTGGCTGGTGGATGGTACGTATGGGCGAAGTAGGCTGACGTGGAACGACGGGCTGACGTACCAGTCAGCAGGGAGGAGGAGGTGGGCGGTGACGGGTGTGATCATGTGGCTGATGCGAAATGGCCCGCAATATCGGGGGCGGAGTTTTGGGGTGATGGGCAGGCGGAGATTTTGAGTGTCGAGTAAAACTAGGTCGTCTGGCTGGTAAGTGACAGGTCGGCGGTGGCGGTCAGCGTTGCGTTTTGCGATGATGTTTGATTTTTTTATTGCTTCTGCTGCTCGGGTCCGTGCTGCTTGCAGTATTTCTGCGAACTGTTGCGCGCGTGGGACTGGGTTGTCGGGAT